ATGTTTCCTCAAAGTCCTGGCTCCACATAAATGTCAATATTTTTACTTGTGATTTCACAGCATTTACACAATTTCCTTCTCTATTTTACACTGCCAAAAAGTAGCCTGACTAACATAAACTCCTTCCTACTGGCTCAGTGGGTCTGCTGGCAGAAACCCTTAACACACACATCAACCAAAGAGTGGCTATAAGCAAGGAGCAAGAAAAAGCTTGGAAGTGAAATGAAGGGTGAGAGAGAGTTCACGTGGTTCAGAGACACTGGAGTGGGAGTCCACAAACTTTCTAGGCAAAATTCCTTGACTTTGATAAATAAATCTGGCTTTATTTCTGGAGTGGACAGACACATTAAACTGCAATAGCTGGGGCACATGCTGAGCAGCAGGGCCTGGATGAAAACCTTGTCTTTGTAACATTTTGCTTTTTTCCCCCCTCCTATATAACTGCAAGGCTTCCTTTGCTGTTTCCCACTGTTTTACTAAATCAAACCATGCGGCCAGTTATTCTCGAGGCAAAGACAGCCTTGGTGGAAAATAAGCAACCACACACAAGACAACAGCCCAACACTGGGCGTAAGTTGTATTACTTGACCGCAGCAATGAGAGCAACAGTACTGCTCTCCTACTAATTTATTCCAAGTGGAGGCCAAACCTTTAAATTACAGGCAAAGACTACGAGCAAGAGCCGAGAGGCCAGATCTCACCTGTGAGCATTTCCTCATTCCTGCTTTTTTTGGCCCAGAGGATCCCGCAGCTGAAGGGCACATTGCAGAAGGGAAGGTTCCGGGATGACAAGGTAGGTCCTTCCATTCTGACAACAAACCATCAATAATCACTCAACCAGCTCCGCTTCTGCCGAGCAGCAGTTTCATAGAGACTACGCTTCATGAATATTAGGAAAAAGAGAGTCAAAACTATCACTGAAGGCACGCTGAATACCCACAGCTACTCCTCTGCCCATGAGGCTTCCTTGCCTCACAAGACAACATTAGATTTTGTTCTTGGAAACCCACACTGGTTGCTACCCATTTCCTTTTTCCCTCTAGATGTTTACAAACAGTTCAATCGGTTGTTCCACTGTTTTTCTGAGAAGCAAAGTTAAACTTGCCTATATAATTCCCCAGTTTCTCCTTACGGGGTGGTGAAAGCTCTTTCCTGGGAAATGGGAACTAAATCGAGGAGGGTGCCAGAATGGGCTGCCAGGACTTGGGCAAGGGCCCCCACCCCGTGACTCCCACACATGGGGTGCTCCACGCAGGGCAGGGGCTATGGTCTGTGGTGAGGATGCTCCTTGCCCCCTCCTGCTGGCTGGAGCACAGCAGCCCCGTGGTACGGGGGCACTGGCAGGCTGGGGCTCCGAGCTGCACCTGAGACCTGGTACAGCAATGACACTGCAGGATTTAGCCTTGACTGTGACCAACATGCTTTTAGACAAAGTTTTAAAACACTCACTCCCCCAGACTGGGAAAGCCCAGAAATGACAGCCTAATCTAAGAGATATTGCACTGTTATCAAAAGAAACCTCAGCAAGCCATACTGCCAACCAACTCCGGTTTCATTCAGTTCTTGCTGGATTACCATTGGTGCATGTGCCACCAAGAGGCATTTCTTTGAAAACTACTGAGAAAACCAAGTACCCAGGGTCTGCTGCAGTGCCAACAGGCTCAGGGAGCCCCACAGCCGCCACAGCCTGCCTGCTTGCCCCATCAGGAGGGCACGGTGACTGGAAAGGGTTGAGGAAAACCCCAAGAGATTCCAGCTTTATGGCCCCTGTGGAAGAGGGACCAAAATTATTTTGATCAACGCAGCAAATTTTGGCAGCTGCTGAGTGTGTGCAGCAAGCCTGCGATGTGTCAGGATGCTGAAGGCCAGGAAGGTTTCCCCTAGGATGGAGAGCAGGGGTTCTGGCAGCACATGTCTAAAGCCACCAAATTTGCATGCACTTGAGTTTTTATATGCACGGCAGGAGGACAAATGGCGATTAAAACCGCGAAAGACAGTCTGTGCATAGGTGTTTGTGATGCCTCTGAATGAGCTGTCCTCTTTCCTGTTTCGGACACAATGCCAGATACATTACTTGAAATGTAGCTTTTGATCCTCAGTGCTACCAGTGTTGTTAACCCAGGCTGAGCGACACTTGCACTGGGGGAGTACAGAAATGACGAGGCAATTTCAGAAATACATATGCACAGCCTCCACCCACATTTTTTTTTTAGGCTTTTAGAAACAAAACCAGTGCAAGATCCAGAATCGGGGAGGGAGGAGACGGAGATGGGTGAGAGCTTTTGTCTGGTTCAAAGGCATGTATCCAAAATGTGAGCATCACGGGATCACATGAGTTTGGAACATCTTAGCTCAGCATCCTGGCATTTTTGCAGAAACTAAGCAGCAAATGGCAAAACAAAATTTCTTTTCCTGAAGGGAGCAGGGAGGGAGCGCCCAGGGCAGAGCAGCCCAGGCTGTCTGCGCTCGTCAGAGGTGCTGTGATACACAGCAATGCCTGCTCTTCCAGGAAGGCAGCCGTGGCGTGATGATGGCATGCTCTCGTTCTGTGATTCCCCACGGAAATGCTGATAAGTTCGTTGGTAGGCTGTGCAAGACCTGCAGCAGGCTGCCTCTGCAGTCACTCGCTGGTGGCTCTCGCTACAGGTAGAAACGCAGGCACGGGGCAGCCCTGGCCCCACAGCCCTCCCCTGTGCCTGCCTGCTTCAGCTAAAGCTTCAGCCGTGGGGACTGCGAGCCACATGGGTCTGGGGCCACTGTCCCCGAGACATCCCCACAGCAGGGACCTCCAGGCATGAGGAGGCACTTGCTCAGGCATCGCGCAGCCCGGGCAGCTTCCCCCACCACAAGGCTGTTTCACCTTTCCTGCAGGTCTGGGACAGCTGCGTCCCAGCTTCCGAGCCACCACTGCCCATCCAACTGCACTGCTGGCGGCCGAGACCCCGCCCATGGGGGAAGGACCCAGAGCTGGATTTGTTCCCTACGAAGAAGCTGCTCTGAAGACACATTTGAGATTTCCTCCTCTCCAGAGTCTCCGTGGGCTCCCTCACACCACCAAGCCCCTTACGGATGGATACCAGAGCTGCAAGTAGGGTGAAGGTTTTTCTGGGGACCTTTTAAGCCAGTACCTAGACACGGCAGGATGTTGCAGATCCACAGGAGCAAACAAGCTCCTTCTCCACAGCCCCCCAGCCTCAGCAGGCCTCCGTGGCACCCCAACGTATTGCTTCACTCCTCTGCAGGGCTTGGCCAGGCCCCAGCCCCAGTCACGACTGGTGCTGAGTTTGGTGCGGGGCCGCCCAGGCTCCCAGGCACTGTGTGACCACTAGGTGTCAAAGTCCTGCCTCCAAACTCATGCTGTAAATCAGAGGGAACTGCTTAGAGGCAGCACAAACTCTTCTTGCCACAGCTCCCATCACATTTCTGGATGAGGACAGAAGGTTAGGGTTGTTCCCAGGGCGTCTCATGGGGCTGGGGCTCAGCCAGGGGCTCCGGCACGCCCTGGTGAGTGGCCGCTGGTGAAAACGGGAGGAGAATTTCCATGCACGCAAGAGCCAATGGAAAATGCAAAAGCTGAACCTTCTTCAGTAAGTTTCCATGGCTTTTGGTTTGCTCTCGAGACAAAACACCAGTGTATATTCCTGAATCAATCCATCAGCTACCAGCAACCTGAGGTTATTTTTCAAGAACAAGGGTGGCGAACGTGGGGCGTCCTCATGGTAGGTTGCTTACCCAGCTGCTGTACTCCCCCCCTTCATTTGGTTTATGTTTATAGGAAATATCATGCCCAGGTGGAAAAACACATGAAATAACATAACTCTTGCTTCCTCTGCATGCAGAGTACATGTTTGTCAGGACATGTGCCTTGTGACAGGTTGAGAGAGCACATTTTGGGGAAGGGAAACTTTCTGACAACTCATCCCTGACAGAGACAGACAGTAACACTCCCAATGGGCTCGATCCTCACCAGGAGGAGGCAGCGCCTGACTTCAGTCATGATATACTAATTTACAACAGAAAAAATTCTGGCTAAAAGAGTGATGGAAAGAGCAGTACTGGACTGCCCCCAAAAAGGATGCAAAGCCTGTCACCCAAAAAAAGCACAGGAGATGGTCCCTGCTGCAGACAACTGACATTTAGCAGCTCCCTGCGTCACAAGCAAATGTCACAAGGAGACCAAGTGAAGGGGAGGTGCTGGTGTCCCAAGGGACAGGCACCTTCTTTCCTCTTCCAGGAGGGAAGACTGGCTAGCCAGGGGGTGCCCCTCCGAGTACATTCCCTGGACTGCAGGTTTCAGTGTGTGCAAAAAGGGACATTCTCTGAGCAGTTCTCAATTTTCTCCCTCTTGGGCTTCATGCAGCATGCCATGGCTTTGAAGCCAGAAGACAAGGGTGAAGAGAAATGGGAAGTGCCTATTTTATCTCCAATTCTTTACGCTGTCCACCTGTCCCACATCTCTTCCTATTCATTGCTTCTTTACAGAAAAGAGACTTCAGCAGCATTATATGCTGCTAACAAGCCCTGTAAACCCCCCACCTGAGGCTGAACAGAAAGAGGAGATCTTTTACTGACAAAAGACTTAGTGAAGACAAGCACTGTCCACCCAACTCTTAGCTATTGTTGGAAACATCACATATCAGGACATCCACAGCTGAAGCTATGAAAGACAAACACGTCTACTTTCAAAGGCCCTTACTCAAAACTGAACTGGGATGCAATAAATCAGCCCCCACGTTCACACACACATACACACAAAAAAAAAAAAAAAAGAAAAAAGAAAAGAAAGAAAGAAAGAAAGGAAGGAAGGGGAAATTCAGATTAGTCACAAAGAAGTTCCCCCGCCTGCTTCTCTGTGTGCATAAAGCAGTCTCCTGAAGGCACTGTCTTCACTTCATATCTGCTCCTGGAACAGGAGCCCCTAGCTCATCTGCCCCCTGCTCCTCCAGGCTCCTGCTGTGCTCCCGGCCTCTTCCCCAGCACTTGCTGGCAGCCCAGCTGAGATGGAAGGACAGCCAGATGTAGAGCAGAGAAATCGAGACCAGATGGACTGTGAAAGGGAACCTGAAGAGGAAGAGTGGAAGAGCTGGCAAAGAGGAGAGGTTAGGAACATGCTGCACATCGTGTCTGCGGCTGCCCAGTGGATATTACTGCTTGCCTGCTTGATTTACCTTGGTATAAATTCTCTGCAACCCTCAACGGTAAGAGCTCATGTTCAACCCATTGTCTGCTGGCCTGTAAAACTTTGTATGGGCTTTTTTTCTTTTTTTTTTTTTTTTTAAGAAAAGGAAAAAGCGTTTAGGTTTACCCCCATTCAAACAAAAGGTTTTTAATCCTTTCCTTAATGACTGTCATTCTTATTTTTTTACATTGCCAGCACTCAAAACAACATCCAGTATTGCCCAGTGCAGGGTTTGGGGACAGGTTATCCGGAAGGGGGATCGTTCCAAGAGTGCTCTTTGCACTGGCCCCAGGAGGAGGGAGGTCTGCCTCCCTCCTGCTCCCTCCCCTACTTGCAGCCACTGGTGAGTATTTAATTAAATGGGATCATCTGGGTGGATGTTTGCTTTCAACAGTGTACGTGGAAGAATCAGAATCCAGGTTGGTCATAAACATCTCCTGAACTTTTGAAAAGTACTGTATGTTCAGGCAGAAAGCAAGCTAGCTTGTGACAACTCTAGCAAGACCCCTGAAATACTTTGTTGCTCTCAGCCTGCACATATACTGGGCTTTAGGAGTAGTCATCTATATCTGCAGAGGACAGCCTCTGTGCATGTGCGTACATGAGAGGCGGAAAGGCTGATGTGGCCAGAGAGAGCTTTGTGTACTTATAACACCACTGCAAACAATATAGATAATGGAGATGCTTGAAACTCAGAATACCTTAGCAAAAATTGCAGCAAATATATTTGCCACTTTCATGCGTTTGTAGGCTGGTGGATCGGCAACAACCTTTTACTGCTATTTCAGCTTATGCACTAGCTACTTCTCCTCCCACATCTTCTCCAGGAGCTATGTACCACTTTAAAGCTTGTTGTGCTTTGTCTTACCAGAGTTCATTCTTTCCTCCCACTTAGACTTGGCAGAGAAGCAAGCCAGGCATGTAATCACGCAAGGGAGGAATGGCCTCGTGCTCTGGGTCATCTGCTATTTAATGAAAACCCTCATGCTCTGGACAAGTTTCATTGACCTGAGTCTCAGGGTGGTTATTAAACTGCAGAATGATGACCCTGATAACACTGAAAGATAACACTTTTCATTCAGTTCAGTCCTCTTCTCCTCCCACCACTTCGGGAGGGAGAAGTTGCACTGGAAGCCAACGGAGAAAGGCAAGCTATCACACTGCTCAAGGTGCAGAAACCTCTCCTGGGTCACACTCTGGTTGTGACTCCTCATATCTCAGTATCTCTCTCTTCTGTAAAAATGTTAACTCAAATCCTCCTCCTCCAGAGGAAGATGGCAGGGGCTGGCATTGCTGCCTGTGAGCCTTACAAACCCAAGAGAGCAGCAGCTGAGGGGGGACAGAGTACATGCCCGGAGTTTCCCTTCCTCAACAGAAACAAATGAAACAGGGTGCTCAAGGAGCAGCGGCTGCAGCAGATGAAAAGTCTGGCCCTGGGAGTCACCAGAGGACCTCTTCTGTTTTAAACACTTGCTAACTGCAGGCTCAGAGCTATTTTCTATTATTTTAAGCAGATAACCATGGTGTCCTCTTTTGACTGCACCATGCTTTGCAGGAGCGGTCTCATGGGCTGTACCCAGGGAGATTTCATCGCATGGGAATTACAGGGCTCCATAGGACAACTGTGAACCGACCATATAAACGTCTACAGAAGAGGCAGCAGTACTAATCTGACTTGACTCTCAGGGCAGTTTAGGGAGACGGACTTCATGGAAGTAGGGACACAGCAGCATCAGAGCAGCAGGCTGGGAGCGCTGGTCCGTGGGAGCAACTGAGAGACTGTCTCTGTTCTTGGGTAGAGTCTCCTTCTGCTCTCCAGGGCTGGAGAGTGCCACACTAACTTTGATAGTGAGACAGTAGCTGCGGTTTTTCATAGCGAGACCGTATTTGGTTACTTTCCATTGTCCTCACATCTCCTAAAAAAACCCCTTGGACTGTTGTGTGAAAACACAGTGCAAATAATGTCATGGCACATGCTCAGGTAAGTCAGCATCTGCAGCACAGACTGTTTGTAACAAAAAGGGACAATGACCTGGTTTCCATCATGATGCCGCTGGAGACCAAGCCTTAGCTGTGATTTCCAAATGAGCAAGTTAAAAAAACAGGTAGTGATAGTCTGCTTTCGCATCTGCAAGGCTTGTGAGTTCCCATCTCTGCTGGAATTACCTCCTCTTGCCACACCAGCTGGGATCAAGGCCATGGGCAAGCCACTCACAGGTGTGATCAAGGGGTGTGGAACACTCCTGATGGCAAATGCATGGGAAGGTTTGGCTGAGCATGCATGGGAAGGCTGCCTTGAGCAGCGGTTGGGAATTTGAAGGCTTCTGATGATCTGTTGCAGGATGGTTTGCCTGAACAGGGCAGGAAAAGGTGCAGGAGGAGCAATTGTGCAGAGGTTCAATGTAGATAAGGAAGATACGGCCCTAATCCTGGTATCTATCTATCTCCTGGTGTGGAGAAGGTACAACCCACTTCCACTGCACAGTCATCTGCAATCTGTATGACACGGGGAGTCAGGCACATGATCACAACCATCCTCTCAATCAGCAGCTATCGCTACAGTCCCCTGAGATTTGCGCTTTGTGCAATACAAACCTATTCCTGAAACTCCTGCCATGCGGCACAGCTCTAGGCACAACGTCCCAGATAGGAGGAAGTCTCACATTTGGGGATCCAGAACAGACAGAAAATGATGTAGAAACTCGGTGTGTAAGGGATATGGAGAAATCGGAAGCAGTCAGCAAGGAGCACCTCTGTGCCCTCAGCCCTCCTGGCATCCTTTCCTGCACACCGTAAGAAGGTAGAACAGAGGAAGAGGGGTGAATAACTTTGCTACTAGCTTGTGGACATCCTTCCAGTCCTACAGATAACATTCTCTCCTCAGCAGAATTTACTAGTAGATAATTGCAAAGTGCTCTGAGGTTGCACCATAACTGGCAGAGATATGTAAAACAGGTAACATGCATTAGTGGCAACGGGGCTGATATTCTTACAATTTGCTTTCACCCAATGTGGCTGTCCACCAGCGGCCAGATCGGACAGATTGCAGTGGATGTTGTTTGACCTCAAAAGCTCAGCGGTCCTGTGCTTAGCTATCATCTTGTTGGGAAACTACCTGGAAATCCCAGCTGCCTGAGCCAAAGAGTGAAATGCTCATGCACTTAGGTACCTAGAAAAAGAGTAAGGGTAAGACTCAAGCCGCTGAGGCAATGCATAGGATCAGTAACGCTGGGGGAGATCCACCAGAGCCAGTATGCAATAAAAGCTTGCATTTGGTAGCTGAATCCAGCCTTGCCAGTGAAGCAAGTGGCACTAGAGGGTCCCAGAGCAGACCTTTCCCACTGCCAGCACCCACCTCACCCTCTGGGACAGATGGCACAGGGCAGCTCGGCTCCAACCTCCATCCCCTGCCGCTTGCCTTTACCAGGGCACAGCACTGAACCTGCAGATTTGCATGTCTGTGCTCACTCTCTACTCTGTTCCAAAACTTTTCCTGTGCTCAGGGTGAATGGACTGCTCTATTCCTGTAACATGTGAGGCCAAATACGTGAAAGTCAGCCCAACACGCATCTCAGCAGCCCACCTTCTCCCTTAGGAAACCTATGGGATAGGTAAAGAGAAGAACACAGAGCAGTGAGCCCAACCTTTCACTCTTTAATCAGGCAAAACGCTGAAGACTTGTGGTTGTGAAAACACTGCAGATTTGGGCCTCCTGTGGTTAAGATGAGAGATGGGTTTGAGATGCAAAGTTCAGATTTAAAAATCTAATACAGAAGCTTGGTGTTTGGCGTATCTGATCAGTGAGATACACACTTCTGTATTTGCATTTACTTTTTCTGTTATAGTCATAAAATCCAAACCAATTTTAAGTGTGTCTTATTAATGCCAGTTAGAGACATGCATCCAGTAACAGCCTGACTCGAAGTGCAGGGAGCCGTAAAGCCAGACCCACCTCTTAGTGCCCTGCAGGAGGAGGGTGAGACAGCGGGGGCACGTCTGGGTCCCAGCTCTGCAAATGGGCACCCCCGGCTGTAAGCCGGACTGGAGGGGGGTCACGCAGAAGAGGGTCTGCACCCCCAGGTCCTTCCTTACTGTTTGGTCTCACTCGATTACATTCACCAGGATGTTTTTCTGAACAGGACCGATGCTACCTGGCGTGCCCTGGAGGGCTCAGCACTGGGCTGGAAGTCAGACTGGCTAGGAACCGCTCTTTTTCCCGTGCCGCGCCGCGGCGGCCTGCGCGCCTGCGGGGGTCCGCTCCCGGTCCCGGTCGGGAAACGAAAGCGATAGCGGCAGTGGCGAGGGGTCGGTGCGTTAACGAGGATTTCTCTTCTTTTGTTTTTTCAGCCTCGGAGCAGCAGAGTGCTGTGGACCCACATCCGGTACACAGGTGGGTGGGTGTCGGGGCAGGGTCCGCCCTGGGAGGGCTCCCGGGGCCCCGCACCGCTGCCCCCGGCCCCTCGGGGGGCGCCGGTGCCCCCC